CACATGATGCACACGCAACACATCCACGTACACCCACACACATACATATACAGACACACACACACACAGAGCGCGTCCCTACATTATGTACAGCTATTTACAGGTATACAATTAATGCGCGTTAATGATCGCGCGCGAGAGCGGATAACGCCGTCGGGGGGATTCCGCGAGGATATTAACGAGCGGCTGTAGTCGAAAGCGCGGGCTGCGACCAAAAACCGACAGGCCGGCCGGTTGTTACCGTTGTCGCCGGTGTTTTGTGTCCTGGGCCTCGGTCGCCGTTACATTACGCATTATTACCACCCACCGGGGGGAGGGGGAGCGAGTCGACGAGCTATTTTCTCCCCCTCTCTCTCTTTCTCCCTCTCTCTCCCTCGGATTCGGGCTGAAACCACACCGACTGCGCCGACGATAACGATAGCGTAAGTCCCGGTCTACAATAGATGCTTTAAGCTCTAAAGCCTTAAGAAATTGACCAATCACAGTCGAATGTGAGGAGAATCGCCGACTGTGATTGGTCAATTTCTTAAAGCTTAGAGCTTAAATTCTCACTGTAGACCGCGCTTTAGTGTCAATCTACAGTAGGTATTTTAAACCTTAAGCTTTAAGAAATTGACCAATTACAGTTAATTATTCTCTTCAGATTCGACTGTGATTGGTCAATTTCTTAAGGCTTAAAGATTAAGGCATCTGTTGTAGACCAGGACTAACGGAGTGTTCGGAGCGTTTTCAGCGCCGTTCGATTTCGATGGATTTCGAGGTCTCATCTCGATCTCGGCGCTTCGACCGGCCGATTCGAAGCAGCCCCGTTCATCTTGCGACGTTGTTTTAGACAGAATAAAACGTTCGACGTACGCGTTCGATGCACGAATCCGTTGTGTTCAATTCGTTCAGAAATTGTTATCGTCTCGTCGTAACGTTAAATAGCGTCTCTTTATATTGACACGGCGGATGCGCGCGCGCTCCGATCGCTCCGTCGCGCGTCGGTCGTTCGGACGGAGGGCTGGTTTCAATTTTCGCGAAAGCGCACTGGTAAAAAGAGTTTGCTAATAATGAGGCATTTAGTGAAACAGTTTCAACTAAATGATTTGGTCACGGTAACCGAATCATTTAGTTGCACATATAACTACACGAGTAGAAAAATATTAGGGAAAAACTGGTCACATTAGACAGAAACTGGTTCAGTTTTTACTGGCTTGAATTAATTAACTCTTCGGCAACTGTCCAGAAAATACTGACTATTATTTCCTGGCCAGTTACTTGCCATAACTATTCCCCCCCCCCCCAAAAAAAAATTGCAAGTTAATACCGGACAATTTCTGTCCAGTAAAAACTCTTGAAATTCTGGCTAGTGTTTCTTGTCCATTTCTTGGCCAGAAATCAGGCAAGATAATAAACAAATGAAATAGTAAATAAATGAAATGGTCAAAATCTTATTGTGAACTGATCGAAAACTGGCTAATTTCACCATCCAGTTTTTATCGAAGCAAAAGTTTCCCGAACTTGCAAGTTTTTGGCCGGTAAAACTGATCAGAAACTAGCTAGTTGGAGAGTTACGGTTACCGTAACCAAATCATTTAGTCGAAACTATTTCGCTAAATGTTTTATAATTATTACTAAACTCTTCTTTCAGTGCGCGGAGTAATTTTCACTCGGAGGAGCATTTTCTCGTTTTCCTCTCGATTTCCTCGTCTTTCTTCTATCTTCTCTTCCATACGTGGAGCGGCCCTCGGAGACAATTTACCGACGATGACGTGTGGGGAAAAATGCGGAAAAATATTCGGACGTGAGTTTTACGGATGCGAATTTGCGCAGCCTCTCATTGGCGATCGGTCGATCGATTGATTGATCGATCTTGCGTGCGGAGCAACGCACACATACGCGTCTCCAAATGGTAACGAGTCCTCTTCTCGCTCACGATCTTCTTTCTCGTCCGAGATTCCGCAATTTTTCTCGAACGCGCCGAAACGAGAATAACAACGGATAAACGCGAATGATGCCCGTCGTGGCGTCCGTGGGAGAAACGACGCGAGTCTTTCCCGGTGACTGCGGAAGTTGGAGAAACGCGAGAACTGCAAGCTCTCGCCTACTTCCGAATGAATTCTCTCCATCTCTTTCTCTCTCTCTCTTCCTCACGCGCGCGCGAGAGAGCGAGAGAATAACCCGACGAACCAAAGAGGATCCGAAGAAACTGATCGTTCCGTGCGTTTCATCGCGAAGAAAAACATTTGACCGGAACAGCAAATTGTTCGTTAATACAGCGACAGAGACAGAAATTTGTCCGAACAGCAAGGAGATTTGTTAAAAATATTAATCGCTATTCGCTGGATTTTATGGCCGGCAAAATAATGTGGTTGCGCCGGCGAAATTTTATCGCCGTTCCAACGACGTCTCGCTGCAGCGGTAAGATTTTTTTTTTCAAGATTTATTTATTTCCGTAACAAATTCTTTCACGGTCACTATATTAACAAACACTTAGCTGTTCCAACAAAACTTGCCCTCTCCGTCAAGTCTACAAAGATAATAAATAAACGCTTCTAATAAACTGAATAATTCATGAAAGACCAAAAGTGTAAAAACCACGTTTTCTCACCATTTTTTCACGATGCAGGCTTGAGAGACCTGCGATGTTACTTTAACGCCAAGATCGCGGGTGTTGGTTCCAGGGTTGATGCACTTTCGTTCCCTCAACATAATAATATCGAGAATTTTTTTGCTACGACAGCAAGATTATTTTTTCCGCGCAGCAAATTTTTTCGCCGTCACTATATTAACGGATAATTTCAGCGAAATCTGTTTTCTCCGATTGGCAAATCGGCCGGCGCGCCGTTTCTCACGGACACCACCCAATTATCTCCGCAATTTCAGCTACTGTACGCTTCGCGTTGTTGTGGCGAATTAATCGAATTAATCAGCAATCGATCAACGATATTTTCCTCTCTCTCTCTGTCTGCTGTTCCTCCCCCTCTCTCTCTCGCACCGTTTTGCAGCCGATCGTCCGTCGGGAAGGTTCCCCGGCAAGGGTGAGAAAAGCCTTCTCGCGTCAAATTCCGCGCGTTCTTCGCTCTTCCGCGTCTTCCGCGAGCTCCTCTCGCGGGCGGACGGTTTTGGGCCGTCGACGGTCACCAATTTTCCCCCGCTGCTTTTTGTTCCCCGCGCCGCCGGCGCCGCCCCGTCTCGTCCGCCTCTCCGTCGCGGTCATTTGTACAATTTTCTTCATCGACCGGTCGCGCGAGTTCCATCAAGTCCCGAGAGATTCGTCCTCCCCTTCTTCCTTCTTCCGGATTCCTTCCCGTCGCTTCACTTCGCTGCTGCTGTCGTCCGATCATCTCGTCTGGTCCTTCCCTCCCTCTCCCCCTCCGTTCCTCTCGTCCCGCTGAGCGAGGAAGTTTCTTCTTCTTCTTCCTCCTCCCCTCTTCGTCTCTACTTCTTCTTCAGCAACGCCGAAGACAATGGACGGCGGGCGTCGTCCGCGGTTGAGTAAGATTCTTTGGTTTTCCCGGGGACGAGCGAGCCGGCATCACGAGGAGGCATGCGAGCGACGGAAGTCGCGAATCCTCATCGTCGTTTTGCCTCCCCCCTCCCCCCCCCCATCTCTCGATCAGAGACGGAAGCTCGCCGTGGGATTTCATCTTCGGCTGGCCAGCCGGCCTTCGTCCTCCGGTTCTTTGGTTCTTCTCTTCGGGAATGCGTGCAGCGGAGCGCGCGACGGGATGGGACGACTAGTGGTTCGTGATCGCGCAGCTCCCTCCTCCTCCCTCCCCTCCTCCTCTTCCTTTCTCTCTCTCTCTCTCTCTCTCCCGAACACGAGTGACACGGTGGATACTTTTCCCGTTCTTCGAGAATCTTCTCCGACGAGCCTCGCGTTGTTTCTGTCCACGAGGTGATCGCGGGAACGCGTGAAACGACGTTGCCGCCGTCACGAAGATGACGAACGCTCGGTCCTGCACCCCGGATCGTCTACGGATTCCGTGCCGACGGCGGCTGCGGTTGCGGCGAGTCGCGCTCGGCGAGTTCCCGTGGAATCGCGGGACGAGCGATCTTCGGGATCATCCCGGCTTCTCCGTGAGAAGACGAGACGTGATGAGCGCACGGACCACTTCGCTCGATGCTTCCCTTCTTCGTTGTCTTCTTCATCTTCTTCACGACGGAAGTGCGTCGTTCACCTCGCGACTGCTCCCGAGAACGTTCAGTTGGTTGGGGAGATCTCGTTCGGGTTTCTCGATCGTTAACGTGTGTCTTCTCGCCCGATGCTTCTCTTCCGCTTCTTCTTCATTTTCTTCTTCATCTTCCTCGCGACTGAAGCGCGTCACTCGCCTCTCGAGAGCATTCCATTGGAAATCTCGCCGGGCTTCCCGATCGGTAACGTGTTTCCTCGCCCGATGTCTTCCTCCGCTTCTTCTTCATCTTCTTCCTCATCTTCGTCGGAAATGCGTCACCCGCCTCTCGACCGCTCTCGAGAGCATTTCGTTGGAAATCTCGCCGGGCTTCCCGATCGGTATCTCGCTCGATTCCTACCGACGAGCGCTTCCCTCTGATATCTTCTTCCCCGCTTCTTCACTCTCTCTCTATTACTCCCGGAAATGTCGCGCGCGAACAGGCCGGCCTATGGAAGAAAATATATGCTACGAAACTATCACTTGGGCGATCCTCTTCGCGCAACAGCCGATCGAAATCACGTTCTCCCGGCGAAGAGAACATCGCGAGACGGCCTCGCGCGTCTCTTGTCCTCCCTTCTCGCTTTCACCTTCGTCTTCTTCACCTTCGACATCTCGAGAACGATCCGGCTCGTCATCGAGAAGACGACGTCCTCCGTTGTCGCGATCCCCGACAAATCTCCTCGTCCGACGACGGTCCTCCCCGATACTCCTCCGTCGAGCCCTCCTCTTCCTCCTCCTCGTCTTCGTGCTCTTCCTCTTCCTCTTCTTCTTCTTTTTCCGGGGACAATCAGCTTCGCGTTACGTGTGCCTCGGCTGGCCGTACGCGAAGCTGACCTCGCGTCATGGATAATCCGGGTGCATCAGGTTGTACATGATCGCGAAGATCGTGCAGGCGGCGTAGACACCAAGAGCGACCCACCAGAGTAACTGCTCGTGCAGCCGCTGCTCGAAATTCTTCAGCACCAGGAGGCCGATCGTCAGGCCGGCCAACGCGCCCGTCAGGTGGGCGACGTACGACACCGGCGGGCCCATCTGCTCCGCCGCGTACCTGTCGTAAATCGCGAAGCCCACGTCGGCGCTCGCTGCAATCAGAGAGACAAGGTTTCGGTGAGAATTCGGCCGCCTCGAATTCGACCTCGAAGGCCGCCGCGAAACTCCCCTTTTTCGCGACGGCACTCCGAACCCTTCGCATCTTAATTTCATTTAATTTCGTCTGGTTTAATTTATTCATTTAATTTATTCGTGGAAAACGCGCTCCTCGCGCTGTAAAAGCGTGTACACCGAGAGAAAGATCTCTTCAGATTTAATATATTTTATCACATCCAAACAAATTTCACCATTGGCGTGCTCCGAAGAAACTAACGTTTCGATTAACAAGTACGACTGTTAGACTTTTCAATGAATATATATCCTTATCTTAAGTAAAAAATTGGTTTGAAACGAAGGATAATTGTTTGATAAAGAAATTATTTGTTTCATCTTAGATGTTTATCGTAACCGAATAATATTTTATTTGGTTAAAGGATATTATTTCAAATAATGGCATTTTTTCTGTTAAATAATAGTTTCTATATAATAGTTTCTATTAAATAATAGTTTTCTCGAATGAGACAATTTTTATTCGAATACATAATATTTCGTTTATGTTGTTTCTATGAAACAAATTTTAGTCAAATAAATAGAAATACTAAATATAAAGAAGCCTCTTTCTCTGTGTGGTTAATGGATATCTTGACAACGGTGGGGAGTGACAATGCGGATATTTTTATCGTTATCAAATGTAATGTAAATATTGCTTAATGTTTACTGGGTACGGATATATATAACTTCATCCAAACTTATTATCATTTTGTCTTCACAATACAAATTCTTGCTATACTTGACTAATTTTATAACGTAAACGATCACCCATTTTGTACCCCAACGTGTTTTTACAAGCTTGTACCACGAATAAGATGTGTCACGGCCTATTCTCGTTGCGCAGGTTAGTAAGTCTCTAAATGTCCAAATGAAAGGTACATACTGGTTCCCGATCGGTAAAAAAAAATTCACTGCAACGTAAGTTTCGTTTTCCGATCGCTGGGATATAAAATGACCTCAGGGGTGACTATTCCCGGAATTAAGGGCGTCAAAATTTCGACTCGGGATATGATTCCATTAAAAAATTGTTCTATCCGGCCCCGGGGAAGCGAGCGTATAGAAATACCCCGTTTATATACCGGCGAGCACCGGCAGATTCACACAGCGCACAGTACTTTGCTACGTCGGATTCGCCTCGCGGCGGAAGGATTAATTTGAAGAGAGGGACGCGTATACGGCAGGAATCAACTCGTTGAGGGCGAGTCCGGGTGGAAGATAATGCTCTTTTATCGCGCGGCATGTTCCGCGTTTCGAGGATGTCCTTCCTCTACGAGCTTCCTCCTCGGGGTTCCGCGGGTTAACGGAGCGTCGATGAAAACAGCGCATAACAAATGCGACAGGAAAAGCACGAGAAAGGTAGGAGGGAATAAAANNNGGGGGGGGGGAGGGCAATGGACAAAAGAAGGGACAAGAGTGGAAAGCAAGAAAGGACGGGAGAGCGGAGCGGAAAAAAAGTGAGGAGACGCCGGCGGCTATTTGGTGAGGAGCTCTCGAAGTGTCGTCTCGCCGAGCGAAGAGAGAGCTTTCCCGCGAGCTTCCTCAGCAGCTTTTTTCCGCGTCTGCGAGCAGACCGTCGATGACCAACTCGCCGCCGCCGCGTCCCGTCCGTGAAATTCGCTTCTTCGCGGGGTTAATGTGGAAACGAGCGCAAACGGATCAACTTCCCCCGGAAGCATCAGCCCCCCGAAGAAAGCCACTGTGAACTTTTGCGTCTCATTTCTCGTTCACCGGACGGGGACGCTCTCTTCTTTCGAGCTCGCCTCTCCTCCCCTCCTCCCGCGAGGAGATGTAAATTACATCGCGCTTCTTACACTTAGGGTTGTCCGGCCGAAATGAAATTCTCAATTTCACAATTTCATCATACAATTATTTCATTTTAATATTAAAATAATATTTATTTCACGCTTCTCTCTCTTTCTCTCTCGCTTATTAGCTAATTAAACAAAAAATTATTGAGAATTTCGAGGGGGGAGGGCTGCAACCCCCGCAGCCCCTCTTCTTGGCTACACTACTGGCCTATAGCTTAATATAAATTTATTTTGACAATATTGACAGTTATTAACTTTCCAGGTACGATTTGCCGACTCTTGTCCGATACTCGATGAAAAACAGTTGCCGACGTTGAGTCGATATTGTTGTAAGTCTAAAATCGTACATGAGTTCTCTTTCTTGAATCTTTAATTATACAGAGAAAAATAATTGTAATATAATAAAGATAATTAAGGGGATAACAAAATTTAAATTACCGTAGCAAATGGATGAATACACATGTTGTTCCTCTATTTTCCAATATTTTAAGAGCTGATTTTCGAGATCATTTTAGGAAGAAATGAATACATGTTCACATAAACTTTTCTTCATGAAATAACTTCAATTGAAAATCATAAAATATCGGAGAATATTGGAGAGAAAGAGGCTGTTACAGTCTGTTTATTTACCACGACAGCACAAAGTTTGCTTTCCCTCTGAATTATCTTTCTCCATATACAGATTTAATTTTAATGCTGCCTCGAATAACCAATTTCGACGTTAAAACAGCGGAAACGGAAATTTAAGACATCGTAATGATCGAAATAGAAATAGATTATATCATTAGAATCGAACGTTGAAACAATGAAAACGGAAAGAGCAAGATATAATCAGGGCCAAAGTAGGAGTTAGGTGTATCGTCGGAACTGAGATTGAACGTAATTAAAAGTCCAACACAGGGCCGAGATTCCGACCTCGAGAAATTCTGCCGTCGCGAGAGAAATCTATCCATCGATCACCGCAAACTTTTTCCGCCTCTTTCCCAGACGACAACGACAAAGACTCCGCCCATCTGTCCATCGTTCCGCAATCTTCGAGTATCGCGTCCCTCTTAATTTCGGCCGGCGCGTCGCGACTCAGCCGATGACTCTCGATAAACACTCCAGCAACACCGTGCTGGAAAAGTTGACGGAACAGCCACCTGTTCTCATGCGGCAAACACAATCTCGCCGTCGAGGAGAATTCTTCGCGCGTTGATCGCGTTGGGAAGGAAGGAAGGAAGGAAGAGAGCGTGCCGACACCTATCTTTTAATTAAAACTTTAGAATAACGACGGGTTTCGTCGCCTCTTCTCCGCTGCTTTCCCGCCTCTTGTCGGGAACGAGCGAAAAAAAAGAAGAGAAAGAAGAGAATGGAGGAGGGAAAAAACGAGGAAATTGAAATTTCAAAAGAAGTATATCGAGACGCGCGAGCGGTGAGGAGGAAATCGAGCGGCGGAGAGGCAGACGAATGGGAACAAAGGCAGCCGTGAAAAAAATAACTAATCGAATAAATAATCGAGACGTGGAAGCACGACTACCTGTTCAGTAGGGGAGGAGGTTGAGAACTAGAGTTGAGCGATATAATATCGATACATACGGAAATAAGGATTTCTCCCAGAAAAATAGGGGTTTCCCCGCAGCTTGTGGAGCAAAACCTTATTTTTCTGGGGGAATATTTTCCTATGTATCGATGCTGTATCGATATTGTATCGCCCAACTTTATTGAGAACTATCCGGATTCGTAAAGGCGTGATAATTCTATCAATCTCTTCGGATTAATAGAATCGCATCGGAATGACGTTTTCCAAACGTTGTGCTTCAGTCAGCCAAATGTGTGAATTTGTAATGACAAACCTCATTTAATCTTATTATTTCATGATAACGAAAGCTTCGAAGAAATTTCGCGAGGCTGCATAAAATGTAATTCGAGTTACAGTATACTCTGTCCGAATTTCTTAAAGTGAAATGTCGCCCAAAAAGTAGAATAATCAGCGCGTCGCTCGAATTCGAGTGACTTGTCACTCGTATAAAGTGAATTCTTCATTCCGAATCTCGTCGAGTAAACATTTTCTCTCAAAATTGAAGAATGAATCCGATATGCACTCCATTGGTGCTGCACACAGAAAAAGGTTTCTTTAGATTTAGTATTTCTATTTATTTAACTGAAATTTGTTTCAGAACATTTGTTAGAAACAATATGTACTTATACGAAATATTATTTGTTTGAGTACAAATTTTATCGTCTCATTCAAGAAAACATTATTTGACAGGAAGAACGCAATTATTTGAAATAATATCTTTTAATTAGATAAAATATTATTTCGTTACAATAAATATGTAAAATGAAACAAATAATTTCTTCATTAGAAAATTATTTTTCGTTTCAGAAATCAATTTTTCACTTAAGATGAAGATACGTATCCGTTGAAAAATCTAACAATCGTACTTATTAATTGAAATATCAGTTTCTTCGGGGCGTGCCGATGATGAAATTTGTTTGGACGCGATAAAATTTATTAAATTTGAAAAAATCTTTTCCTCAGCGCGGGAGGAACTCATTCTAATCGATCGAAATATTCACACTTATAGATCTCTTAAGAATCTATCCTGCAGTGAAGAGAGAGAGAGAGAGAGAGAGAGAGAGAGAGAGAGAGAGAAAGGCAAAGCAAACAGAGAGAGAGAGAGAGAGAGTGTGTGTGTGTGTGTTCTGCTTGTGGCTGACAGCGGCGTATTTTCTTCGCGTCTCGAGGCGTTACCGGCAGGCGAGACACTTCGCCGTGTCGCGAAGAGCGAGAGAGCGAAAGATAAGAAGAGAGCGAGAGCGAGAGAAAGAGAGAGAGAGCCACCTGCGAGAGAGCGTCATTTGCATCCGCGGCTGTGCCGGGATGACCCGCTTCCCGTGTCGTGAGAGGGACTCTGCGTGCGCGTTTATCGATCAAGCTCCGCGCCGCGCTCGTCAAGCTTCGCGCGGGGATTGTGATGTAATCCAAGTCGAAGCGGTGGATAGGAGCGGAACAGCCCGGGCTGTTACTACCCTGTGGACAGAAACTATGCGAATATATTGGGAACAGGAGAGAGATATAGTGAGCGAGCGAGCGAGCGAGAGAGAGAGAGAGAGGGAGAGAGAGAGAGAGAGAGCGGGTGGCGGATATCCGAATCCGCGCTGACGGTAATCAACCCCTTAAACAAGGTTATTGAAGACTCGAGAGGCTCCGTCCGGGTGAATTCGAGGCGACTCTAGGGCCACTAGAACCGGATAATGCGCACGTACACCGACGGTCAGATTACGTGCTGCACGGCCCTCGATACTAGAGTTCTACGTCTTTGCCAATATCGCGCTATTATTACGCGATGCGCCGCCATAGGCGTCGGGTAGTCTGAGATTGCGCCCTCCCTTAGCGCGAGCTGCTTCCACGAGACACCCTTAAGCTCGCGTCTCGCCAACTCGTCTCTCGTCTTCCGGGAGCCTTTATCGCCTCACGTAGAGTCCAAAGACCCTGGCACATAGAAAGAAAAAACACAAGCAGCGAAATCTAAGCGATAATTGAAAAAATGGCGGATTCAGAGTCGGGAGTTTCGACATAGTTTTCATGTTCTCGATGATTCTCGAGTGTGATTAGTCTACTCGTTCAAGTTCTCCCGCTTACGTTTCTCCGGGTGTCGTCCGCGAGACAGCGAGCGAGATGTCGGGGGGAAACAAGTTCCTTCGACTTTTCTGAATGTCGTTGGCTCTCTTGCCACCCTTTCGGGTGTCAATGAACGACGACGTGAGTATGGCAAATCTTTCGCGTTCATCCTGTTTTTCCAACAATCTTTCGTATACACTGGAAAATCCATTTGGTTGGAGTATGTTCAAACAAATGTTTCGGTCATGAGAGCCCAAATTTGGTTTTCCGAACCAGAGGTTCAGATCTCCGAAACGAAGATGAGAAAGGTTTGGTTTGGTTTCAGAGAGTTAAACCTTTGGTTCGAAGAAACAAATTTTGGTTCTCGCAACTAAAACATCTGCTCGAACATATCCTAAACAGATTTCGCTTAAAAGTCAACTAAATGGATTTTTCAGGATATCGCCGAGAGATTTGTTAGGAAAGTAGACGGAAGAAGTATTTTCAGTTACCGTTATAAAGCAAGGAGAAAATTAATTCAGAGAAACAACAAATTTTATGTTGTTGTAGCAAATAAATGAATATACAGATTGTATTTTAAATACCGTCCGATATTTTGGGAGTTGACTTCTTGGGCAATTTTATGAAGAAATGAACATGTTCATGTGAGGTTTTCATTATAAAATGACCTCAATTTAAATACTTAAGGAACATCCTGTATATTTATTTATTTGCTATACGACAGCATAAATTCAAAAATTCACTGTCACCCTAAATTATTTTTCTCCATGTATCCAATAAACATCGACCGAAAATGTAGCCTTACATCAATGATTGCGTTCTGCGGTAGCAACATTAAATAATTATTTCCTAATTTGTGTATTCTTTTAATAATAATCACTAAGCGCTCACTAAACGTTGGCTTCCGCTGAAAGCAGCCAACGTTAAAGTTTCTCCACTCAACGGTATAATTGTTACATGAAACATACGCAGAGAAAAAGGTTTCTTCAGATTTGGTATTTTTATTTCTTTGACTAAAATTTGTTTCATAGAAACAACATATACGTTATACGAAATATTATTTGTTTGAGTCATTTTATCGTCTCATTCAAGGAAACTCTATTATTTAACAGAAGGAACGCTATTATTTGAAATAATATCTTCTAACCAAATAAAATATTATTCAGTTACAACACACGTAAAATTGAAACAAATAATTCCCTCCCAAGAAAATTATCTTTCGTTTCAAACAAATTTTTTATTTAAGATAAGGATACATATTCGTCGAAAAGTCGAACAATTGTACTTGTTAATCGCAACATCAGTTCCTACGGAGCTAACGCCAATGATGAAATTTGTTTCGACGCGATAAAATCGATTAAATTCGTAGAAATCTTTTTCTCAGTGTATGTTACACCGCACACATTGTTAGGAAATAGAAGCAATTGTCAAAGCAATTAATGTAATATTAATGTTATTCAGTGTTTATTGGATGTTATCGAAGCAGTTTCGTGCTGATGTCCGTCACGTCGGTCGTGATACTCAATACTCGCGAATACGGGGAAAATTCGCTCACCCTGCTCGATCCTCACGCGGCCGATTAATTCGCGGCATCATCGTCGGCGCCAATGGTCGATCGCCCTCACGAGCAGCTCTCGCTCGGAGATACATCGACCGGACGGGAGGTAAAGGGAGGGTATAGGGCGGTTAGGAGCCGATCGAGGAAGTTAAGCCCACTTACCGATGACGAAGATGCCGATGAGCCGAACTATCCCAAATTCCATATTGTTGTAGTTGAGGAGGACGTTGGCTAGATGCGCCGCCAGAAGGGCGTAAACGCCGCCGCTCGCCCCGACGAGGTACACGTCCGTGTCGAACACCGACGTGCCCAACGAACCTGAAAACAAACAACAAACGTGACCTCTTTACGCCGTTCTCGCCATGTATTTTTCGTTGTTTTCTCCTTTCCCTCTTTGAATTATCGACACTAGGCGGGTGTTTGTCCACCGTTGTTTCTCCGAACAGTGGCGATAATAGGTGCTCCGGAGGGGGACTGGAGAAAGAGGCTGGATGATTGATTGAAAAATTGCCCCCTCGGCCGCCGAATGACGTCTGTGGTAAGCGGTGTTTGCCTCGGATGATTTCAGATTAATCTGGATGAGGATGAGACGAAACTTCGAAAAATTCAAGTTTCAGTTACGCGATCGAAACACGTTCTCGGGATTAATCGAATATGATATTTCCGCCGGATATAGCGACGTTGAGTATGCAATTGAGAGAGTCACAAGAAAGAGAGAGAGAGAGAGAAAGAGACGGCATAGAAGTTATATTTCTCCACCCATTTGTGCCATCGGAGCTTTTCGATTTACGGATAAGCGAAATTACGTAATGAACAAAATTTTCTAAGGAGAATGAGAGCGAAAGAGAGAGAGATAGAGAGGGAGGGGGGAGCGGTGGAGGGAAAATCGACCATTTTCGCGAAGCTGAGTTTTTCGTCGACGGAATTTCAGCCACTGTCTGTCGAGCGGGAAACGAGCTTGTCCTGAACAAACCGCAAAGTACGGTGGAAATTTTCTACTCTCGCCGCCTCTCTCAGCGAATAAAATAAGAATAATATTCGCGCAACAACTCGAAAGTTCGCACGGCCCCAGTTTAACGACACCAAAAGCTCTCTCTCTCTCTCTCTCTCTCGTTCCTTCTCGCACTCTCTTGCCCTTGCCCTCACTTCCCGCAGTTCTCACGCGGGAACATCTGTTGCGCGTCGCGCGAAATGTGGAAAGCGCCGGTCGTCCGAGGCGAGCGAGTGCATGTCGCAAGAGAGGGGGCGATTAGGATGAGGAATATAAAGATACTTCTTCCGTGAGGATGCGCCGCGCGAGTCTTGCGAATTTCTCTCTCTCTCTCTCTCTCTTTCTCGCGAGCAGGTCCGAGCACGGGGTTTCATAATCTCGCAGTATTTTTATAATTGAACGAAACGAGGAGTTTTAAAATCTAATCGAGGTTAGCAACATGTTAGGTGCCTACGCAGGGAAAATATTACAGCTTTCTTCACGTAAATTCTTTTTAGTTCTACCATATTTTCTAATGGCTCGGAAATAGACTGTTAGTAGAGTTTATCTCACCAAAGAACATAAATCTTTAAATAGTACATCCACATAGTTCTAAAATATGCGTATAAATAGCGCATATGTGTAACAGAAGGATAATAAATCAAGGCGGAATGTCGACGAGTTCCTCCGCTAAAAAATTATACAATAATTTTTATTATTACACGGAGGAAGTGTTGAAATGAAAATGATCGCAAAATTATATAATACCGGAATTATGACTGGAATTATCACGCGTGTTGCAATCTTTAGTTATATATACAAGTAAAATATATTACTAAAGATTAATATAATACAAGTATATACAAGATAATGATACAAGATAAAGATACAAGTGAAATATATTACTAAAGATTACAACGCACATTACAATTCAATGCTGCTCTTAATTTTTTGAGATATAATATTACCCTCGTTATTTATAACCTCTCCCTAACGGAATATAAAGATATCTCGATATTCCCCGAACATTCTCAGAATATACATGTTCCGTTAGAATAATTTATTAACAATTCAGGATGATTGTCTTTCTATTCATCCCAAAATTGTAATATATTACTTCCTCTATTAATCTTCTTCTGTTCAATATCGTATGTTAGAAGTTTGTGTTTTATTTGGCTCAACAACCAATGTGCTGTTTTTTTTCGTGAGAATTAGAATTTTATTATAAAATGAAAAAGACGACTGTTTTTAATCATAGAATGAAAACCAAAATAATGAACCGAAATGAACCTTGAACCTGTCGCCAGGTACAACATCTGCCGTATATTTGTAGATTAGGTAACTTTGAGCGGAAGAATCCGGTTTGTTATTTGGCAAGTAATACGCAAATTTTCGAGTTATTACTGAAAGAAGTCTTTATATATACGGCCATTTTCAATCATTAATAACTCCGAAGGTCGACAAGGTCAAATAGGAGGTATGTACATATAAACTTTTTTTTATTGTGAATAATAAAAAGTAATCCCGATTTAAGAATGTAAAGTAATTCCGATTCAGGAGTGTAAAAATAAATTATGGCACTATAATTTCCGTGCTTTGGCTCTTTATGGCCCTTTATTTTTGGAAAATGTCTTTTTCTTGCTCTTGTGTCCGTTGCTGAAGTGGGTCTCACGTGTTAGGGAACACTCTGTATATGGACGCGGAACGCAAGACGGACTCAAACGAACTCTCGAGCCCTTCGTGCTCCATTCTCTACTTATGTACTTACGTCCGCAATGCTCCGGTCATTCCATCGGTTCGCGAACGGCACAAAGCGCTTCCGGCTGTGGACTGTGTGTGCCGGTTATTAGAAACGGAATTAGGGCCCTGTCTCCGAGTACCTGCCCCGTAATTTGACAGACTGCCCGCGGCACATGGATGCAGGCGGCGTCCGGAGTGCTCGGCAACGTCCGAAATGCGTGCTAACGACGAGAAGTGGTCGATACGCGCGACGCAACATTCGAAATTACGGCTAACGCGATCAACATCGCTAAGCGCGCCCGTGTTTCCCGAAACGACAAATCGGCTCTCGTCTCCGCTGCTGCGCTCCGCGCAATTCTGCCCTTCTCTGTCAGATTCGTATCTTTGATCGGCATCGAGACGTCGAGTTTTGAGCGATACAATTCCGATAAAGCCAGACGTGTATTAGCGAAAATCGCGATGACGCGTCGCTTTATAACGCGATTCGAAAGTCGAATGTGTCGACTGGCCGGCCGACGAAAGACGATTCAACGCGCGACGTACGGTGTAGAAGAACCCGTATAGCACAAATGCTCAAAAGATACCTTAGAAACGTCCCAGAAATTTTCGAATATCTCTGCCCAAGTAGAAATTAAACCAGTTTATAACCGGTAACTGGCCAGTAATTCTCTAATAAGCTAGTTTCTGGCCAGTTTTATCGACCAAAAACTTGCAAGCTTGAGAGACTTTTGCTTTGACAATAACTGGTTAGTAAAACTAGCCAGTTTCTAATCTGTTCCTAGTAAGATTTTGAGCGTTTCATTTGTTTACTATTTCATTTGTTCATTATTTTGTCTAGTTTCCGGTCAGGAAACAGCCGAGAAACACTAGCCAGAATTTTAAGAGTTTTTACTGAAGAGAAACTGTCCAGTATTAACTTACCTTCTTTTTTTTTTTGGAATAGTTTATGGCAAGTAACCAAGGCCAAGAAATAATAGTTAATATTTTCTAGATAGTTTCTGTGTGATTTCCCATTGGAGAGTTCATTTGCCGGTCGCAGCGCGACGGTGATCGCGATGATCCCCGGCAAATTTGGCGCAATTCGCGCGTTTCACAGCCGAGTACGATTGAAACACGGCGAACGCAGCGCGAGTGCGGCAATTCGCGCAACAATTTCAACCCCGGGAGCGACGGTAATGCATCAGACATACGATCGCGCTGGTTAAACATTAATATCAGCCGGACGGGCGGACGGACGGGCGAATGACGCTTCGAGAATCGATGCGCGCGATGGTATATCGCCTATATATCGTGGGAAATGAGCAAGGACATTAGTCGCTTCCTAGGTGGAAATGGAAGCGGCGGCGGCCGGTGGTGATCCGGCACGTCTGGAGCCGACGGCCACCACCTGACACCTGGGCGAACCTGACCGATCACCCTGACCACGGCCCTCGGGGGAGGAACCTTTGATCCGTTCTGAATTACAAGCAGCGTTACGTCGATACGGTCCTATCCGTCGACGATGACGTTGACGACGATACTTCGAGGAGGTGGTCGCTACCGTCTGTTAAGTCTTTTGCGTCACAGAGAGGCATACCTGTTGTCTCACCAACGTTTTCTTCATTCTTAACAATTTTAACCAACTTCTCTAGGCAGTCACGATCGGCTATATTATTACTATGCATTCTCAGAAGCATAAGGGAGTAAAAATAAATATCATATAATTTGAATATCTGATTGTTAACCTGCTGGAAACAAATGGAAATTGAAAAGTTTCTTTTGGGAAAGAATTCATTTCATATTCAATATTCTAGAATTTCAACGATATCATAATGTTATCGCAAGATTACAATGGTTCACTACAGATCACAATATGATTATTCTGAAAATAATAAATTTTGCTGTAACATCTAAAATAATTATATCAAAAAGATGAATGTGTTATTTGGAATAAATCTATATTTGAATCAAATGTGCGGTAATCTTCTTCCAACAATATGAACGTTTTCACTTCAAAATACAAATCAGGTCTTATATTTAAGACCGTTTTAGGTTAGGTCATCTTCAGATACTTCGTAGCCGATGAAGCCACCCGTGCATCTGAAGATACTCTGAAGATGATCTTAAATATAAAACTTGGCTCTTATAAGTATCGGAGAAAATCCGGAAGCCGGAGTTGCTGGAAGGATTCGAGAAATCTTTTACTTGCGAATGTCTGCTCCTACAACTGAGCTATCTAGGCATCTGCTTCAATTCTTTTTCGTCCTCTTATGGCCTCAATTTTGAAATAAGACCAAAAATCGTTATTATAAAAGCTTCCAATGATTCAATTTAATATTATAAACTGTTTTCTCTCTAGGAATAAGATATATTCAAATAAAGATAACGTAATTTCAAATAAAAAAAATTATAATTCCTGCTTCGAAGATATCGTTTTTTTCTGTCTGATATTCTTCGCTTTCAATTCAAGAGAATTATTCTCGAACAACGAGAATATTATATTTTTAGCGGAATTATACGTGGCGTTTCTTCGCGGAAGCAAGAAGTTTTATCCATCCAATGCTATATAATCTTACTTCAACATGTATACGTTGAGAATACAGGTCTTCTCAAAATAAGAATATTCTTT